TTTTTTTTGTATTTGTACATATTTCTTACTTCTATTATTGTTTGACTTGATTCAGCTATTTCTTTCTAAATTCATGATAAGTTTGTAAGCATTAAATAGTCAACATTTATTCATTTAGTTTTGATTGGTCTCAAGTATTTTGTTATTCATAGTCTTTCTTTAAATCTTTTTTTTTTTTTTTTTTCAGCTTACCTAGCATCTATTGATATTACAGTATTCAGTGGGCTGAATCAAACTCATAATAGGAGGATGGAAAATGTCACATTGTTTTCTCTTTTGAAGGTTACATTCAGAATTATTTGCAGTATTACCAGGCAAATAAAATTAGATCATTTTAGAACCATTTAAAGATTTTTTTTCTGCATCACACATGCCTTGCCTAGGGTTATAACACAAGAAATCATCTCATTTTATTAGAAATTTATGATGGTAGTGATTCAAAAATATTTACAGTCTCTCTTCCCATGTCTAGCCTATTCTATGTCTATCAAACCTTCCTTTCAATCATTCTGCATGGTCCTCTTGTTACCTGCAATGAAATTGCTAGATGGCAATGGCTGGATGAGTTATTACTGACTGATTTCAATGATATTTCTTTTTGCTTACAAAGTTAGCTTCTTTTTGTTGTTACTTGTGTATATATCTAGACTCTAATTAGCTGTTTCCTATTCAGACATCCCAAATGTCTCTACTTGATTTCAACTCGAGTGAGTGAAGCACACTGCAATAAATGAGGAAAGAGCTGCAAAGAAGGAATGTGATTTCTAGGGGGGATCACTGGTAGATTACAAACTAAGGTATGTGTCTGATATAATAGGTCACAGGGCAGGAGAAGGTTTTGGTTCTGAGCTGAAAACATGAAATAATTACCTAACTAAGAGAGAAAGTGATAACAGTTGTGCAACACTTCTTGGATCTCTGACTTGTTACTTATGTTGTCCTTGATCTTTCTCTAGATGTTTTCTGGAGTTGCTTTCTGAATCAAGTTAGATTTTGTGTATTCTATCAAAAAGGCAAAGGTGAGAAGATAATTAGGTCCATTTTTCTTTTGTAATACAACAAACAATGTACCACATATAACCAGTGATCAAGAAAGCTTTTGATTAAGTAAAGGTGTAATTTGAAGAAGCATATTTTTGCCAGTAAATGCCAAAGGTTAGTCTCTGCAGGTAGGGAAATGGTTCCTTTCCCCGATGAAAGCAGAGGGGGTGGGGGGGGCTGATCCTTTTCCTGGCTTGGGAAACGTTGCTGCACTGGAGCTTGCTTTAGTTATTGGCCGATGTACTGAGAGCTCCCCCTCCTGTTTTATCTTCCTTTCAAGCATGTGCAGATCTCATCTCAAAATCACAGATTTCTGATGTCATCCATTTTTTTCTGAAGTATGATGTATCAACACAAAGAACACTTTTCAGTGCTGATTACGGATGTTTCCGCAAGTTTAAGGCTAAATTAAGAGAATGGGGAGAAGGACTTTCCCAGGACTTTCACATGCACATACACTTTTCACATATTTTGCTTTGGGAATATGGAATTTATCATTCTTCTTAGTTTTCTGCCTGTAAGAAGAGACCAATAAGATTTCATCCTGTAGAGAGTTAATGAAAATGTTGGGAATTTTATTTTTAAAATTTCAGATATAGATTCAAATTAGAAAAAAATAAAAAAAAGAAGTAAAGTTGTTTCTCGGACAGCCAGAGTTAAGGAATATCACCTGTTCAAATTCAAGGAGGGACACCACGGAAAACCAAGGAAAAAGTGATCAGAATGTCATATTAGTGGCTCATTACATGGGGGCAAGAAGAGCTGAAGACTGGTGAAGAGGACCAACTTGTGACTTTGAGGGAGAAGTATATAAAAAAGGATTGGATCCATGCTGTGGAAGGTTCTTAGTTGTTACCACATCCTTAGTATAGAAATTGAATGCAACATAGATGATATAAAATGACAAATTTTCATGAGACTGCTATTGGTATCATATAGGCTTCTAATTCAGAAAGCATAGAATCTTGGATGATGGTGTACATCCTTTGTACTGACTTCATTTCTCTAGATTACTTGATAGCTAATGAACAACTGCAAGGACCCTCAGAGGTTGGTAACAGACTAGAATTCCTAGCAATCAAATCTTTTTTTTTTTTTTTTTCCCTAAGGGAAAGAAGATAGAGAAATAACTGGAAATAACCTGCTGGTAAAGTTAAATGATCAAAGAAACAGATGCTTGCTTTTGTGGCACTTCTGTGCAAAATGCAGGTTGCATAGTTTGAATGTCAATAGGTGGAAAATGAGGATTAAATATCTGTCAGTAGTAGATATTTGTAACATTCACATTACTTATCCAATGGAGAAGAATGTTGCATATCTTTGTGACAAACATAAAGAAGCAGATCACAAAATGAAAAGCAGTGACTACTGAGGTACCCAAGTTTATGACAGCTACATTTTATTTCTATAGACAGAATAGAGCTCCAACCCTGAGTTAATGCAACATTTAGAAATTGTTCTTTTAAAAAAGTTAGGTTGTTGTCGAAAAATGTTCTCTACCACTTGATATGACATTTCAACATTTATCCTTTCTTGCCTTTTGTATTTTACTGTCTTGTGTCCCTTTACCTTTTCCTTTTATTCAGAAAGCTCCCTATTCTATCTGTTCTTCACTATTTTCCTCTACAAATCTCCCTCCAGATTTGTCTTCCGAATCAAATACTTCTATTCTGTCTTTTCACAGTAAACACATTTATCCAAAGAAAGCGGGTATATAAAACAGAGGCAGAAGGGAAGATTTGAAAGTCACAAAATCTTCTCTTTGTGTAAGGCATTGAAGAAAATGAATAAGAATAAATTTACAAGAAATGTAACAAGGGTTAATGATGTTTTGGATTGTCTTATGTTTTATTTTTCAGTGGTTCTTGCAATTCTTTTTCAACAAATGAAGTTCTTCTGGAAAACTACTCAATTAGTTTTTCATTTTTAGTTAAGCTAGATTTCACAAGATCTTTTTTTCTCAGTGTACTGAAGTGAAAGACAAGGAAGTTATTCCCTATGTTTGAGATTTTTAGATGTATGTAGACATATTTTAAACAAACTTGTATGAACAAGAAGACATTCCCTTTGAGGGGTGGCCTTCCCTAATCATATTTGTCTTCATGAATTCATAGAGAACACAGAAGGACTCAAGAATCTTTTTTTTCTCTCTCTCTCTCTCTTCCTTCCTTTCTACTTTTCCTTTTCCTTTTCCTTTTCCTTTTCCTTTTCCTTTTCCTTTTCCTTTTCCTTTTCCTTTTCCTTTTCCTTTTTTTTTTTCTATTTATTTATTTATTTTTCTCTCTCCTTCTCTCTTTTTCTCTTTCTCTCTTTCTTTCTCTCTTTTTGTCTTTCTTTCTCTTTCTTTAGCTCTACTTCTCCTGTTTAACCCTCCTTTACTGTCTTTTGTGGCCTTGCAAGAGATAGACACAAGACTTAAAAAGTTCTGGGAACCAGTGGATGACGCATCTCTTGAAAAGTTCTGGGAACCAGTGGATTGCAAAACATAGTTCTGGTGACATGAGAACTCAGCAAGTCACAGTTTGAAAGCTGAGACTGGATGCCTGGGAAAGAAACTCTGATGTCTGAAAGGAAACAGGGCCTCAGGAAGGATACGGTGAGTCTGGGACTTGCAGAACTCATTGTCTCTAGAACTGCAGTTGCTGAGACATTTCAGTGCTTTAAAACAGTGCTTTTGTTTTGTCTGCAGAAAGGAAGATTACACTTTTAGCTTAAGGCTTGAAACGTCAGGCTTGATACTCCATGTGATTTACTGATTCCTTCATTTCTATGAAGCTAAAGAGGACCTGAAGATACCAGTGTATCCCAGGAGATGGAGATCTTAAAGATCCTGACTCTTAAAGGTGAATGTGTCTGTTTTAAAAAAAACTTACTTAAGGATGATTTCACAAGTGAATTGCATAAAAAAAGGGTGTTCACGTCTTTTATACTGCCTTGGTTTTGCGTTTGTTTCCCAGAGGAAATGCTGCTATTATCCTTCTGTTACGTGGTTCACATTTCTTACAACTCCAGCCTACTGTCAAGTTTGGCAGACTCACATAGTTAAAGGAGGGTTTCTGGATCCCACTGCTGTAAAACTGCTCAATAACCCATGCCATTCATTCAGCAGGGACAGGAAAATGAGTCTACTTCATTGCTGTTTTGTGTACCACATGCAGAGGAGTTATGGATAAATAACAGCAGCAACCAGTGAAGCATCTGTATTTGGCTGGCCACACTAATGGACAAAAAGGAGGATTTTCTTCCTAATTCTTCATTAACATTAGCAATTATGTGTTTCTTTGCTGATTACAGATAACTCAGGGCAGAAAATTGTGACAAGAAGGTAAGAGATTGTGTGAAACAGATGGAGAAATGTACTGGAAGGGAAGAAAAGGAAAGAGTGAGGTCATTGCCCTGAAGATTAAAGCACAATTCAAGACTTCTTCCTATCAGAGAGGAATATAGCAGAGGAATAGTTTTAGAGGTTGGTTTTCGTCTGTGTTGTTTTTGTTTGTTTATTTGATTTGAGTACGTAACAGTATGGAGTATAAAATAGGAAGTGAACAGACAGAGCACAGGTGATGTAATAGTTTTTCACTTTTACGTTGTCTCTTTAAGGCAAATGACTAGAAATGTTTACCCTGATAGTGCTGACCCTGATACATGGCTTCTGACTGCTGGTTATTTGTACAAGTTCCAGTATGGTGGACCAGCAGCAGCTGTTTCACAGGGTGTGGTAGCAGTACAAACTGGCTTAGTAATATATTTATTAGTAGTGTCACTTAGTTTGAAAAAATCTAATATCTGTAATATGGATTTGCATACATTTTACACAAGAAAGATTTTATTTTTCAAACGTGCATTTAGTTATTTTAAAAATATTTCAAGCTACTTTCAGCAACCTCAAGCCTATACGAATTACCAGAACAATCTCTATGTATTACTCAGACTGAATCTCTTTGTATTTGAGGGTAATGAATGGCAGTATTAAGGTAATTCTGTTAATATTTTACTACTGTCTCTGTTGCTTTACCATAATTATTCTCTTTGTGACATGTTGCTGTAAACCTGCAGAGATGCGTATATTATAGTAAAAATTTAAACACTTTAGAATCTCTAAATTAAGCAGATAAATAGAAAATGTTAAGCATTTATTGCATATTTCATTTTCTGATCTCAGTGCATTTCCCAGTGAAACAAACAAACAAACAAACAAAAAACTGAACAGCTTTATTAATATATTTCATGGCATTCCTGTGTTATGGGAACAATATATTCTCAAGCGCTCCATGCATCTGAAATTTGTCTCGATGTGGCCCATTTATTTTAATTTCGGTCTGTCAGTAGAAAAAAAGAAGTAATTAAACTTGTGACTAGCATGGAGAAACGTTTTGCGTTCTAAACTGTAGCTTGATACCCAGTAGTTTCTTTATATTTCTTCCAGCTGTCAGATCAAAGTCTCTCAAGTACTATAACTCAGCCATGCTTTGATTAATTACTTCACACAATGAATTTGCAAATTATATTTCTGAAGTGATTTATGTACTTTTTAACTCCAATCAACTCTCTCTCCTCCCTGCTTTTTTTTTTCCTTCCTCTCTACTCCAATCTCTGTTCTGATGTTATTTTATGTTAACAAATCTGTATAAACAGAGCAAAGTCTTACCTGAGCAGTGCAACTGAGCAGAACTATAGGGATCACTTAAACTGTCATCACCCACCAGCAGTCCTCATCAGGTCATGAGCTTCACTGCTTTGTGCAAATACATGAAGTCCCTCCCTAAAAATTCCCAGCTACGGGGGTTTTGTTCCAGATAGAGCTACTGGAATAGCTGAGCTGAGGCAACATTTAAGATGCTTGTTCAAACCAAATATTTGATTACTGCAGTTAGACTCTGGTAAATGGTATTTGGAGAAGTAATAACTTGTTTGCAACAGTGATGTGCTTGTCTGGGCAAAGTTTAGTATTTATATTTGTGGTTTCATTGGACAGTTTCACATGACATACTGTTATTCATCTTTCACCCATTTGCATTGCACAGTGGTATCTAATCTCTCGTTGAAGTTATTGTGTTCATAAATATCCATGCCGTCCATACAACTTGATCTGATATACCTCTGAAAGAGTGTTAAGATTTACTTCTCTCACTATCCCTAAGTCATCTCCTTAGCTCTGAAACAATGCATACATTCACCACCTTTAGAAGTAATTCTGATCTAAGTGCTGCTTTGTTTTTAATTAAGGGGTTAACTGGACAAGGAGATAGACTTGGAAATGATGATCTCCAGAGGTCCCTTCCAACCCCTGCAATTCTGTGATGTGGCATAGTGGTGAAGGACCTATACTGGCGTCCTGTTTACACATGTGACTGGAGTACTGTCCCAAATGCTCTCATTCCTTCTCACCACTTCAGTTTAATTGTTTTGCCCATCCATATACGAAACTGCACAGAATACATGTGATTTCATGATGTTTTAAACACTCTGAACTAGAAAAAAGCCCACAAAAAATACATGGAAAACCACCAAGATGGGGCAGTGGGGATACCTGTGGCAAATGCAGATGAAGCCAGTCTGCTGTAGATGAGGACGGTCAAAGCACAGATATGAAGGCATTCTACAGCACCTAGCCCAGAGGTGAACAATCAGTCCCTGAGACAGAAACATTCAGCCATATAGATTCAACACTTTTGGATCATGCTGTCTGCCTCAAGTCTTGTCTCCAATAACAGCTAGTAATGGAGGCTTGAGGTAATGGGTATACATTTTAATAAAATGTAAAGTATGGTTCTAAACAGAATCATAGAATCCCAAGGTTGGAAAGGACCTACAAGGTCATCTAGTCCAACCGTCCTCCCATTACCTTTGCTACCACAAGCTACTAAAACAGATCTCGCAGCTCCTCATCCAGATGCTTCTTGAACGCTGCCAGGGATGGCGACTCCACCACCACCTTGGGCAGGCCGTTCCAGTGCCTGACCATCTTGGAGAGAAGAAATTTTTCCTTATGTATAATCTAAACCTCCTCTGGAACAACTTGTGGCCATTTCCTCGGGTCTTGTTTGTTGCCTGGGAGAAGAGGCCAAACCCCTTCTCATCACAGCCTACCTTCAGTAAGTTGTAGAGTGGAATAAGGCCACCTCTGGGCCTCCTCTTCTCCAGACTAAACAATCCCAGCTCCCTCAGCCGCTCCTCTTAAGACTTGTGCTCCAGACCCCTCACCAGTTTAGTTGCCCCTCTCTGAACACATTCCAGGGCCTCAATGTCTTTCTTGTAGTGAGGGGCCCAAAACTGAATGCAATACTGGTTGTGCTTTCTATCTTCAATTTTAAAAAGCACCTGACCCTGGACATTGGTAAATGCACATCTATTTCTATTAGCCAGGAAACATTTCTCAGATAAATTTTCTTGGTCTCTCTGGAACTTTGTATTATCCCAACATTTTGGTAAGAGTTTCAGCAGACTGAAACCCTTTACAATTCCTGTGCAAAATAATTTCCTATCATGTTCACTCTTTTGCTACTGAACTGCTAATTTCACCTAAAAAGCAAACTTGGAATTATCTTAACTAATATGAACAATACTTGTATATGAATACACTTTACACAGTGCTTAATTTGGTCACTAGAGCCAGGGACACTATGGTTTCTGTAAGTCTTGATATTGCCTGGTTTAATGCTGTTCATAGCACTTGTCAAATTTTATTGTAATGTTATCGTGCAGCTGTGCAGTGCCATTAAAAGCTGGGACATTGCGTGTTTTAAAAAAGCAAATCCAAACAACTCAGACTGAATGCCCATGAGAGTAAAAATGAATCTACATGTGCCTTATCCTTTTGCATGACTCTCCATAAAGATACAAAAAATACATGTAAAAATCACAAAGTCGTTTTCTACTGCTAGGATCCAAATCAACAAATGAAAATGTCAACAAGCTGAGTCCCAACTTCGCATGAAATAACAGTAATGGGAGGGATCTTAATAATACGCATAGGTTAATTTTTGCAGAGGGTGCAGTAAAAATCCTCTTTTTATGAAAAGAAAACTAGTGACCCCATTGCTTTGTCTAGACATGAGAAACCAATGGACATGCCATAGCAGTAATGTATTGTAAAACTCTTACTATTAGGATATCAACATCTCTCGTGTATTGAAGCAGGAATTTCAAATGTTCTTCAGCCATGTAACAAATGTATCAAAAGACTGCTATTGTTGTAGAACAAATCAAAATAATACATTCCTGGAAGGACCTCACGTTTCTTAAAGTAGAATTCATTCATCTTATGTTCGTTTTTCACCATGATTATATGTATCTGTGATGATCTTTGTAAAGGATCTGCTGGGATACGTGAAATGTACTTCCTTATAAATAAAAATGAAGAAGTTCAAAAGTAATTATTTCTTTGTACCTATTATTTTCTCCACGTGTATGAATTCAGATACTTCTCTATTGCTTGTTAAATATAGTAAAATACCTAAACATATTTTGTTTTCTCACTTTATACCTTATTATTCTCACTAGTCTGGTAGATATTTTGCAATATTTTATAGTTTAGGATTTCATGTAATAGACATACATTGTTCTCCCCTTTCAGTCTACATGCTGCCTGCCTTCCTTCCTTCCTTCCTTCCTTCCTTCCTTCCTTCCTTCCTTCCTTCCTTCCTTCCTTCCTCTCTCTCTTTCTCTCTTTCTCTCTTTCTCTCTTTCTTTCTCTCTTCCTCTCTTTCTTTCTTCCTCTCTTTCTTTCTTTCTTTCTTTCTTTCTTTCTTTCTTTCTTTCTTTCTTTCTTTCTTTCTTTCTTTCTTCTGTTCTCTCTCTCTCTCTTTCTCTCTCTTTCTCTTCCTCTCTTCCTCTCTTCCTCTCTTCCTCCCTTTCTTTCTTTCTTTCTTTTTCTTTCTTTCTTTCTTTCTTTCTTTCTTTCTTTCTTTCTTTCTTTCTTTCTTTCTTTCTTTCTTTTGTTCTCTCTCTTTCTCTTCCTCTCTTCCTCTCTTCCTTCCTTCCTTCCTTCCTTCCTTCCTTCCTTCCTTCCTTCCTTCCTTCCTTCCTTCTCTCTCTCTTTCTTTGTCTCTCTTTTTCTCTCTTTTTCTCTTGGAGAAAGGTGTGTTGACTACCTTCACAGTCTTAAGTGACGGAAAAAAATATCTCAGGCTGTGTCTGGGGTAGGAACTTTCAAAGTAACTTTTCTCTAAAGGATCAGAGAAAATAACCCTGCAACATCTGGTTTCCGTTTCAACTGGAAGCCCAGAGAAAGGGCCTTCCATGTAATTTCAACATTTAGAATATGAAAAAACATGTATTTTTGTCTGGGTTCCAAGAGAAGGGCAGCTGCTGTCACCATGTTGCCTGTCACTACGTCCATTCTCATTTTTTTCTCTTTATAACTTCAGGATCCATTGGCCAATTTCCAAATAAAGCAGAGAGGTAGATGTACAAAAGATACTGACTTCTCACATGGTTCATGGAAATAGCAGCCAAACAGAGAACCTCTATGCCCTCAGTGAGGATTAATGATAGGGCATGAACTCAGGAAAAGACAAAAAAATTATGAATGGTTTAATTGGAGGTGGGAAAAATTGCAACACAAAACAAAATCTTCCTAGTCATTGCAAGAGTTTTTAATGTCAAGAAACCTCCATATTACTCACAGCTGACAAATTAGTCATCTGACATCTATTAAGGCACAAACACTGATTCAAGTTTTCCCCACAGTTAGGATGTATAATTGTCTTTCTGCTGCATGGATTACCCAGCTTATAAAAAAGTATCTTTGTCTTAATTCAGCTAAAACAGATAAGAACCATGTTAGACAAATTTGCTGGAAACTAGGCCTTTTAGTTTGAAGCGTCACATTAGATCAATTTGTAGGTGTGAGTCAAAATTGGACAGCTTGTATCTGTTTGGTGTCCACTGCAATACCCATTTCATCTTCTCTACAGCCAACATGGATCTTACTTTTGTTTTGCTTGCCAATTTAACTGTTTAGCCTCATTCAAATCACTTCTTAAAACATTCTCTACATGTTGTCTTTTCACATTTAACTCACAATAAAAAATGAATGAGAATATTTATAGTCTATTTCAAAGTGTATCAACATAGATTGAACTTTCATGGCCTTCTCTCTAAGCGAATATTTGCATATGATGAGAGACATTAAGCCAAAACCCATTATCATCCTATTTTTGTCAGGTACTACAGAGGACTCTGAACATGAACTATATGATTACATTGAGACTTTATGGCCTCTGGGGAGAAAAGCTGAGTAACATTAGTCTGCGACAAAAACTTCATTTCTTATTGCATAATTAGTCCTTTCCAAAGTCATGAACGTTTTTCACTGAAATCAATACAGCTCACTGAAAGTTGATAATTTTTTTTCTAGCCCTGCAGTTTTTACTTCCTAATGTATGCTCCAGCACTTTTGGCATGCTTAGTTAAAGCCAAGGCATTGATGTAAGAAGTCTAAGAATTGGACCCAAAGAAGCACATACCTTCCTGTGTAGATGTGAATATGCTTGAGAGTGACAAGGAGCTTTGGGCAACTTGTCCACCTCTCTGCTGCACCACTGGGACTTCCTAGCATGGTGCAGGTGTCTGTCTTTTGCACCAAGTGGAGAAAAGACAGAAAAAATGGACCTCTAAGCAATCTCTTACTGTGAGCTTGTGTGATCAAACGTGAAATAGCAATCTTGTTGTGTAATCTGATTTGCAGTGAGATTTGGCTTCCATTTCCTTGTTTTATTATGGCATTATGTTTGTCATGATAATTTTGGGCAAATCTGAGGACAGCAAAGACAACTTTCTCTTTTCTTTCATTCTGGGACCTGTTTCCTTGGACATTTTATCCGTGGGCTTGGGGATGTGAACCGGCCTTACCTTGCTATCCTTTTCTTCTGGTTCCTCATGTACATTGTTTCCCATACTGTACTGCTACAATTGTTTATGAGTCAGAGAATGCAATAACATAGGATAATGGAAAAGCAACATTCCAATTATAAGGATTTTTTTTTCTTGGCCTGAGCTGAATCAGTGTGCCCAGCTGAAAGAATAGGCAGGAGGAAGCATTGTGGTGGATAAATAAGAGAGTCAGTCCTCCTTCTGAGACAGATATAACCAGAGTATTAGAGAACACTCAGCACTCTGCCTGTGCTTATTGAATTTATCAAGAAATTTATTCTCTCTCGAGGTGGACAGTCACAACCTGGCCTCAATTGACCAAATGCTTCAGATTGGGAAAATGTTTGTACAGCTCTGAACAAACTATGATGACTGCTTAGAAGATAACTGTAATAATTTCCTTGCTTATCTATTAATCTTTAAGCTTTTTCATCATGTCTATTTTGGTGTTCATGAATAAAATAAAATAGCAGAAATTAATGAAACTTCTTATGTATGGATAACAAATACCTGTTTTGAAGACCTTTACATTCAGATCCTATCCCTTCTGTAAAACACTCCCCATGGTATACCATTATGTTAAACCAATAAAGAAGAAAATGGTATTCCATGCACATGTGAGCTAATAACAACTGGCAGGCAGAACACAAACACCACAGTGGGTCACACTAAGGCAGACTGGCAAGCTGCTGTGCTAGCTTAGTTTCCAAATATCTGAAGATAATTGCCCCAGTATATCCATACAAAACTTACAAAGAAAAAAATAAGATTATCCCAAGCATGAAACTAGCTGGAAAATTACTCAGCAGTGTTATTGAAAACTCATTTTACCTGCTGTGATATTTAGCTAATATGATTAGCAACATTAAGACAGAGACTTCTACTATAGTTTGGAAATAGACTCCAGCCTACCTATCACAGT